GACAGTATACCGGGTCAGGCAAAAACAATCACCTTCGCTTTAATGAACTATTATAACCTCGCATCTTGCCATTTCTCCCTTCAAGAAGAAGCCCTTTGAAGATGGAAGGGGAAGGACACTTTAGGTGGCTACAGCGCCAGGGGTTGGTGGCAAATCACCCACCAGACACACACCACGCTGGTGTCTTCCTCGTCCCTCTAACTTCGCCGACACCTTCCACTACCAAACTAACAGATTACCGACTGGTGAGTCAACGTGCAGGGCACGGCCGAAAAGGCAGATCCCCGCGGGAGGACCCTGCCCTCACGCCGTATCAGCGACCCGAGCGACCGCCGCAAAAGTAACTGACAGCGGGCCGAGCTCCCGGGCCCCACGATCCAAGCCTCCTCGAGGGCACGGGTCTCCCCGCCCACGCCCTTCCCGCCCCGGGTGCCCTGGGCCTCGGGGGGCTGCTGCTGGGGCCGCTCCGGGCCCCGCCGCCTCGTCTCCACTGACCCGGTCGCCGGCGTGGACGGCCGCCGCGCCGAGCGGACCGACGGCGCCGAGGCGCTGCGCGCCGGGGGCCCCGCCGCCCCGTACATCCGCCCGCCCTCCAGCGACAGCGGCTGCGGGGGAGGCGGCCGCAGTGGTGGTGGCGGCTCCTCCGCCCCGCCCGCCGGAACCCCCAACGCGCACATCACCCAACAGAGGCCGCGGCGCTTTGTTACCCAGGCCGGGCCGGGCCGGGCCGGAGGGGGCTGACTGCCCCGCCACGGCCTCCGCCTCGGGCGCCGCGTCGCCGTCCCCGGGGTCCGCTCTGGCTCCCGGATGAGACGGCGGCCCGGGCCCTCCGACACTGGCTCCGGCCCGGCCAGGCCCGGCCTCGTGTGGCGGCCTCCGCCTGGGCCCCTCCGAGCCGGGCCGCAGAGCGCCCGCCGCCGCCGCCCTCGCTCCCTACCCGCCGACGAGGGGCCGCCACCGCCCCCGGGAAGGCGGGAGGGCGCCGGTCCTCACCGAATTTAAGGCGAAGAGAAAAGGGCCAGAAATTCCAGATGTGGCGACAACTGCGGCGGTCTGACGGTCTCTTCTCGGCGACCGGAACTAACGCGAGGAGGAGGAGGAGGAGGAGGAAGGAGGAGGAGGAGGAGAAGGAAGCGGTGCCGCCCCGCCCACCGCTCTTCTATCGCGAGATTTCGCCGCGCGCCTCGCCCCGCCCCTCTCTGGCATGGCGGCCCCGCCTTTTCTATAGCTAGGGGTTCGAGAGGGGAGAACCGGGAGGGGAAGAACCGAGTGTTTACGAGCCTTTTTTTTTTTTTTTTTTTTTTTTTTAAATCTTGTTCTTGAGTTCCAGCTTTCCCGGACACTGATCCTGGACTGGCCTATCGTTCTCTCGCCGCGTCGTTATCCGTTTTCTTAGTCTTAGCACATGGAGGGGCTGGGAGAAAAGAAGGTCCCCCATTACCCCAGGCAGTCTCGAGGACATTGGGCTCTGGCGCCCCCATCCTTTCTCGTCGACCCGCTCCTGTCACCGGAAGTCGAAGCCGGGGTGGGCTGTGAGGGCCCTTAACGGGTGGGCGCTAGGTTTGCCGGGCCTGGCTTCCGCTCAGGCTGTGTTAAGTCCAAAGCGGGCTGCCCTAGGCCCTAGGGTGCTGGTGGGGTGGGTCGTGCACTACCCCCAGGAGCGAGGAAGGCCGGCTGAGGGTTGGGAGAAATCCTGCCCTGGGACTGTTGTCCCCACTCCCGGCCGTGGTCTCTGCCCCGTTCTCCCCAGAGCGGTCGTCGCGGGGACTTGGAGAGCATCCACCCCCTGGAGGACTTGAAAAGCACAGGTTGTGGCCTCGCCCGGTGAGATCTGGTGTAGGACCCAAGAAGGTGCATTTCTAACAAGTTCCCAGGGATGCTGATGCTGCTGACCTAGGGCCACACTTCTGAGAAGCCATGGATAAGGGGGTGGGTCGTCCGAGCTGGAGGAGGATGAGATGATGCGTGTGAGAAGCAGCGTAGACGTGAAAATACAGTACAAACCTCCGAGAGCTAGCCTCACGTTCTTGTTCTCGGTTTATACCTTGCTTGTTTGCCTCTCCATTGCTTCCTTATTCTCCTACCAGAGAAACTCCCCCAACCGGGTTTTGTCCCTGAAATCACCTTTTCTGGATTTTGCTTCTCTTCTTTATCAAACATTTTGGTAAATTAGTCTATATAACGTGGCTTCCCTAACTAAGTACCTTCTGCTCCCCCTGCCCCTCCCAACTTCAGGGAACATTTCTGAGTCTTTTCCTGAAATTATTGCCAAACCCAGCCATTTCTCCACTACTTCCCTTTGGGCCTCCGCTGAGCATTTAAGGAGCTGTTACCTATGGCCTTAAAATGTCACTCCAGCCGAAACCGGTTTGGCTCAGTGGTAGAGCGTCGGTCTGCGGACTGAAAGGTCCCAGGTTCGATTCGGGTCAAGGGCATATACCTTGGTTTGGGGCACAACCCCGGTAGGGGGTGTGCAGGAGGCAGCTGGTGGATGTTTCTCTCTCATCGACGTTTCTAGCTCTCTATCTCTCTCCCTTCCTCTCTATAAAAAAACAATAAAATATATTTAAAAAAAATAAGCACTTTATATATTAACTAAAGGCCCAGTTCATGGATTTGTGCACATTGAAAGGAAATTAATTAGAAGGTGGCCGTTGGTGCGGGACTGGGTGAGCCAGACACACCCTAGAGACAACCTCTTGCTCCCAGCCGGCCACACCTGGGCTGGTGCTGGGCTCGAAGGGCATCTGGGGAGTGAGCAGGTCTGTCCACTCCAACCTTCATTATTTCCTCCCAGAAAAGATTGCCATAAACCCCTGTTTTTACCTAAAGTTTAGCAGTTTTTCATAAGTAAACACTTTGCTATTTGTTGTTGGCTTTTGCTTGATTTTTGGAGTCCTGGAATAGTAGTTTGGGACAAGTGCCCAGTTTTATAGTATTTTTGAAGACAGATTTGCTGACCTCTTCACTTTGCCATTGCTGCACATTCCCCATAGAACTTTTGGATGTAAAATTTCAACCTATTTATTTGTTGTTGTTTAAAAAAAAAAAAAAAAATATATATATATATATATATATATATATATATATATATTTGTATTGATTTCAGAGAGGAAGGGAGAGAGATTGAATCATCAATGATGAGAATCACTGATTGGCTGCCTCCTGCACGCCCCACACTGGGGATGGAGCCCGCAACCAAGTCGGGCAGGAGCCCTGACCGGGAATCAAACCGTGACCTCCTGTTTCATAAGGTGATGCTCAACCACTGAGCCATGCTGGCCAGGCAAATTTCAACCTATTTAGATGAAAGGTGCTAGGTGCTGCATGTGAACCTGTTACTATTATTAATTTTGCTGGTGGAAATAGATATTTCCTTTTCAAGGGCAAGTAGCAATAGGTCTTTATTCCAGTAACTAGGAAGATGCCAAGAGTCTTATTTTGAAAAGCACATTGCTTCCCTTGGAAAATGATCTGGGAAAAGTATTTATATTCCTTATGTTTTGGATAAAGGATTGTAGAACACTTTATGAACCTGGCTTAAATATCATATATATATATATATATATATATATATATATACACACACACACATATATATATACATGTATATGTGTACACACACATACACACACACACACACACTCCTATACACATGTGCATGTACTGCTAGCATAAGCAGCTAGTTAAGAAGGGAGCAAATGTAACTGGGCATTAGCCCTGATTCACTAGGAAGCCACGCACGCACTCACAGGCTTTCCAGGGACAGCACATTCTCCACCCCGGGGACTTTATTCCGGAAGTGGGCAGGAAGAATCAGCTACCAGTCATTAGCTGTGATTACCAAGGGAGGAAAAAAAACAGCAGTGGCAATTCCTTGGCCAGTGCATGTGGCAACTTCAGGGGGTGGAGTCTAGCCTGGAAAAGCTGGGGGAAAGATTGGGAGGGATGGGAAGGATGCAGAACAAGCCCGCAGGGGGGTTAGGAAAGAGACTGGTTAGTTTGAAAGAAAGCCTGCTCTCTCCCAAGTCCAAAGTGGCATAACCAGATGGTGACAAAGAGCATCCTGGTAGCGCGCCTTTGTTTGCCCCTCACTCCTGTACTCTCTCTCTGTGGTAACTGTGTGGGCCAAGGCTTTTTAAACATCTTTAAAAAGAAATGAATCTTTTTAAAATATGTTTTTATTTATTTTAGAGAGTGAGAGGGAAAGAGAGAAAAACACTGATTGCCTTCTACATGCCCTTACTAGGGATCGAACCCATAAACTGGAAATCTGTGCCCTGACTGGGAATAAATCCAGTGAACTTTTGGTGCATGGGATGATGTTCAACCAACTGAGCCACCGTGGCCAGGGCTAAAACATCATTTTATTTCAACGTATTTCACCCCAGCTGCTCCCGCTAAGTTTTCCAACTCTTCTGCTCATAAGCTTTCGTAAATTCTGTCCTGTCCATGACCTCTCTGCGCCTGTCTCCTTTCTCTTTGTGCTCCTGTCCCCCTTTCTCCTTTGGACTCCTGGTAGAGCCTCCAAAGTCAGCGAACGGGCCATGTGAACATCTGTGTCCCAGTCCCTTCAATCACATGGGCCCAGTGCCTCCTGTGACCTTCAACTTCCTCCAGGCTGTAAGGCATGTCTAATGTTTACCTTCTCTCACCAATCACCAAACGCTCTGAGCTCGGCCTCTCCTCAGATCACTGCAAGGAGTCACTGTAGGGGGAATTCTGGTTTACAGAGTGTCAGTTTACTCCCTGACTGTCTGGTCAAATGAGGAATAATTCATTTGCTGGTTTCTCCTCTGAAGGCCTCTAAAACTGAGGAATAAAATATGGTGGACCCTGCATGTTTTCAACTTCAACATAGGAGGGATCACAATTTAGAATTTTTTTTGCTCTGTATTACCCACTTCAATATACAGGAAATTGAGCAATGAAGTTCTTCTGAAACTCTAATACCAGATCAGGTTTTTTTGTTTTTGTTTTTGTTTTTTTGTTTTGTTTTTATAAACAGATTTAAGAAGTAAAAGGATTTTATGATACTACATTAAAAATGATTTTTACCATGCTTTTGCCCTCCAAATTCCAAAAGAATATCAAGCAGTTGAATAGCTCATCGACAATGAGGAAAACACAACTGCTTTGTTGTCAGATGCACATACATGGACCCATAGCTAATCCACAGTAAAAGCAAAATAAAATCAAACCTTGTAGAACTCTGTGGTGTCCCTACTGTGGCCACTGAATCAAACATATCCCCGGGAAAAGTAATCACATGCTTATCTACCGAGAAGTGTCTTTCATTCTAGAACTATAGCCTATATTACAGTCCAATTATCCTGGATGGATACAAAGGAAAAATTCGCTTTTATAGCAATAGTGACATGATAGTGTCAGAAACAACTTAGAATTAAACTTGGTTGCTATGACTATGGCAGTGGTGGTCTGGTCTGGTGGCCTGTAGGCTAGAAAGTCTACATTAATGATTTGTAAATAATGATTCATCTTGTTAAGGCAATCAGACTTGAATAATGTTTCTAAGTTTTGTGTCATTTTTTTCTTCTTCACATCAGTATAAGAATATCAGTGTAGAGTCCAGTTAGGATTCACAAGCCATCTTTTCACTTGGAGAACATTGAAACACCTGGGAAAAAAAAAGAAAGAAAAGAAAAGAAAAGAATTATAAAAGTATGTAAATCTCTCGACTTTGTTTGAGAGGAGAACAATAAAGGGTTGAAAACTTGGACTGGTAAGATTTATGTCTATGACATCTTCATTTATAAAATAAGAAGCTGAATGAGCTCTGGCCAGGTCGCTCAGTTTGTTAGAGCAGTGGCCAGCAAACTCATCAGTCCACAGAGCCAAATATCAACAGTACGACGATTGAAATTTCTTTTGAGAGCCCAATTTTTTAAACTTAAACTTCTTCTAACACCACTTCTTCAAAATAGACTCACCCAGGCCATGGTATTTTGTGGAAAGAGCCACACTCAAGGGGCCAAAGAGCCGCATGTGGCTCGAGAGCCGCAGTTTGCCGACCACGGGGTTAGAGCATGGTTCTGATACAACACGTTTGTAGGTCCTATCCCCAGTCAGGGCATATACTAGTACAAGTATCAACCAATTAATACATAAATCAATTGAACAACAAATCAATGTTTCTCTCTCCCTCTCCTTCCCTCTCTCTGAAATCAATAAAAATATTTTAAACAAATAAAAAAAAGAAGCTTGACTTATACACTTGTGCCATCATAAATTTCCATACCACCCAAAAGACTGGATCAGTTTTTCTTTCTGAGTCATTATTTTTCAGCTTATTGATCTTACCTTTTAGAGAAATGACAGCCGTCTTATGCTATAGGGATAGACCAAGGTCTAAATGTCTTAGGGTCATCTCTTGGGATCTAAGAAAGAAAGCAAATTCGAAACTTCATATTATAATACCATTGCAATATTTTCACCAGGAAAATCACATCAAATCTGTAGGTTCGAGGAAATTTTTCTGATGGAGGGAGGCAGGATTTTCCTGGGGAATACCCTTCCTCTCTAGGGTCAACTCCGAAGAGACAGTGGGGTCTGGTATTGTGATATCTGCTGCACTTGGCATTGCTAAGGAATAAGGCACTCTGTATTAGTTATCTGGCCTTTTTGCTTCCAAGATGTGGATCTCCCAGAGAATGATGTAGCCTATGAACACATTTGCGGGGCCAGGGAGGGTGGGAAGGGGAAAGGATAGGCAGAGCTGTTTTTGCGGGAGCCTAGGGACCAGGGCGCCTGTGCCATGATTTGAGAGCAGCTCTGGCTGTACCTCCAGCCAAATGGTTTTTGTCCAGAACCCTTGCCAGTTAAAACTCAGGCACATTTCCCTACCCTGGCCTTCAAGCTCCAAGAGCTTGACTTGTGAATCCTTCCTTCTTGTGGTCTTCAATTCCTGTTTCCTCTGCTGGGAATGCTCTCCTTTAAGTTTAGCCAAAAAAGCAGAAATTACATTCCTTGCTTCTGCTGTTGTTACGTTTTTATTTTTGTTTTTTTTGTCCAAAGAGTTGACTTTTAGTTACACAGGTGTAAAAGCACAAATCGCCCATAAATAATGAAAAGTTATGAGGGTTCCAAAAAGCTTTTCTCCTAATATTTATTTCACAAAAGTACAAAAAAGAAGTAAAAAAACAAACAAACAAACAAACACACACACACACACACACAAAACAACAACAACAAAAAACCACACACCCACAAAACAAAAAACAAAACAACCACTCCTCTCAGGATAACTTAACAAATTCTATTCTTACTGTTTGCTCTCAACTCGTAATGAAATATAAATGGAGGGCTAGGTTTGCCCTTCTCAAAGAGACGGCCCCGATTCTCTTCCTGGCTGCTGCGATGGGTATCTTATCTACAATCAGCTCGTTCCACCTGCGCTGGGCGGGCTGGCCGCTGGACAAAGCTCCGCAGTCTAGTCTGAGGTCAATTCAGGCCAACTCTCCTGCTAAAGGTGATGGCAGTGCTTAGTCCCTTCCAAAACCTGCTTCCAGTTCTTTCCACCAGACCTGGGTTCCTGGAGTCCCCTTTGCTTTGGGACCCAGATCGATACTCACTATCTGGCTCCCTCGGCTTTCTGGCGTCTTACTTCCTCCCTAGCTCCTTGGATGAGGACATAACTTTCTTTCTTTCTTTTTTTTTTTTTGTTTTTTTGTTTTGTTTGTTTGTTTGTTTGTTTCAGAGACCCAGACCTGGGACTTAAGCTGTTCTTTCTTGGCCTTTGGCGACCTTCCCTTTATCTTCTCTCTTGCTTGATGCCATCGACCCCTCCCTCCCTCCTCCTCTTCCTCCTCCCTGGTGGGCTCTTGATAGCTAGAATGAAGGCAATATGTTTACAATGGCCATGAAGATGGAGTCCACTTTTAGTTAAATCTCGGCTTCTGAGATGTGTCTGTTTCCGGTCTCATTGGTGTCAAGGCCTAGTGTCAGTGGTAGCTGCCATCAGTCCGGAATTCCTGCTCCTGATCTTCATCGTCATTATTGTGTGGTGAAGGACTAACTCAGCAGGCAGGGGGTGGCGGGGGAGGGACGGCTGTGCATGGGGGTAGAGGGGGAGCACAGGGAACAGGCTGCCTCCTGGGGACAGCCCCATCCACATCTGGCCGGAAGGACTGCCGGACCGAAGTAAACAGGTGGCACTTTTAAGCAAAAATGCTCCGGCTTCTTACTAACGCCTGCCGTTTGCTGAAGCTGAAGCTACGGTAAGTGTCCAGGAAGTGTGGCTGCTCCTCTTGGCTGTTTCCGGCCCTGGCCAGGCCCACCTGATGGAGTGTGGGCAGGTTCCCGCCTTGGGGAGGGCCCTCTGGAAGGAGGCCATTGACAGGGAGAGAAGTACTTGGCGGAGACCTTACCTCTAATATGTACAGTGGCTTGTACTTGCAGTGTTGTTACATGCATTTAAATGCACATATTAGTTAATTCCAAGAGGAATAGTACTGTCAGTCATTTCTGTTTACAGGAACAGGCTGTTATTTACCTTGGTCATGAGGAGCTTATTGAAAGCGGACTTCCCAGTGCTCATGTTCTAGTCACAGACATTCTGACCCTCTCATCTCCTCACCTGTCAGAACAAGCTGTGCTTTTTAAAAATTGTATTTTTATTGATTTCAGAGATGAAGGGAGAGAGAGAGAGAAAGAGAGAGAGAGAGAGAAACATCAATGATGAGAGAGAATCCTTGATCGGCTGCCTCTTGCACACCCCACACTGGGGATCAAGCTCACAACCCAGGTGTGTGCCCTGACTGGGAATTGAACCGTGACCTGCTGGTTCCTAGGTCAACACTCAACCACTCAGCCATCCTGTGTTTTGACAACAAGCTGTGTTTTGACAACAGCATTTAAAGGCCAAATGCAAAGAATGTTCATGTCTCCCCTTCTTTAAAGTACCATATTGTATGGCAGTGAGAATCACTATATATTTCAACGTATGAACCATGCTGTAGCTGGATCCAATGTAAATTCTGATGTGTCCCTAGCTGCCTAAGGAGACCGGTCTGTAGGGGGCCGGGCTGTAAGGGGGCCGGGCTGTAAGGGGGCCAGGCTGTAAAAATGTCAGGAGGCTTGCTGTGTGAGCAAACAGAATTTCTAAAGATCTGAAGAACAGAGCTGGATGGGGACAGAAGTGAGATGCCAGGCAATCCGTGGACGGGAAGGACTGTCCAGGCTTCACCTGCAGATGGGAAGATAAGGGATGCAGCCACAGATTTCGGCTTCTTTTATCCCTCTGCCAGTGAGAACCTTTACAGCCTTTCAGCCACATGCTTTTCCACCCGAGAAGCTAAGATCAGAGGCTTAAGAAGATTATTTATTTTGAGGGCTACTCAGTCCCAGCCTACTTTAAATACGTTACAACTGCCCCAGGACCTTTGCACTAGCTGTTCTCCATCTTGAACACACCGTCACCAGCTTTATGTTTGCTCATCTTCATTCAGGCCTCAGCTTAAATGTGAACACCCAGAGAAAACTTCTCAATAAACTCTATAAAATATTCTATAATAACACTCTCCATGCATTCTAGCCTCTTACTCTTCTACTTTGCCTCACCTGACATTATATCGCGTGTGGGTTTATTGTCTGGTTTCCCCAGGAAAACATAAGCTCCATGCGGGTGAAGATGGACTGGCTCACTATTTCTTCAGTTTCCCAGGGGTGCCTGGCACATGGGAGGTGTTAGATGAATGAATGATTACATGATGACCGATTATAGTTGGAGCCTCACGCATACCTCCTTTGACTTTAAGAAATCGTTAGGGCTAAGTTAGAAAAGTTTGCTCCATTGATGCACAGGGATAACCCAGAGTCAGCCGAGCACTTACAACTGACAGCAGTGTTTGTCTTTCTCCTCTGCTCCACCGTCAGCTCCTTGAGAGCAGCGACCTGTGTCCGGCTCACCATTACACTCCTGCTACCTCACACTATGCAAGAACAAAGTTCCAATTCATTTCTTGAATCTGATTAAAATATG